TTTCACTCCAATAAATTTTGCCACTACACCTCAAATCCTCCTCTGTATATATCCTTGAAATGCATTTCCTGTCATATGGTGGAAAAACCCTATTTCCTCAGGCAACAGGATGACTCAAATCTCCTTCCTTTTCTTCTTACCTATAGGCACCACTTCATTTCAACCAATTTGGTAGCTTTCTAATTGTTATCCCAGCCTCCAATCTCTCTACTTGAGTAAATCCTCAATATCTTTGACTAAATTGTACAGTTAAGACAAGCTCGGACCATGATACATTCCTAATTAAAACAGGTCAATAACTCTTCACCTCCTCTTTCCAACACCCAAACACCACAACCATCTGAGTGCATGCACACACACACACACACACACAAATACCCGGGGATATGTTATAAAATAATATGATCAAGTGTGTAGTTTCTATCCATTGTTATAGTCAATAGAACTAATATAGGTGTTTTAATGTGCTTTGGCTTTTCACTGCCATTAGTAAAATAAGAGCCATTATTTCTCCAGGTTTTAAAAACACTACAAAGGCATTAGACACTAAGAGAATATGAATAAATAAAGTTTAAGCAACATTGCATCTACTGGAACATTCACATCTCAGCAGGCATGAGATTCTTCCACACTTCAAAATAAGTTTCTATCTTTAGTCAAAGTAAATTAAAGTTTGAAAATCTGTACTTATTTTAGGCAAAAGAATAAAACTTTCAAATGCTGATGCTATGGACTATAAGTAAAAAAAGTAGAATGGCTATTGTCAAAAAGACTAGAGATAACAAATGCTGGGGAGGGTGTGGAGAAAAGGGAACCCTAGTGCACTGCTGGTGGGAACATAAACTGGTACAGCCACTGTGGAAAACAGTACGGAGATTCCTCAAAAAATTAAAAATAGCACTACTGTGTGATCCAGCAGTCCCACTTCTGGGTATATAGATACAGAAGATGAAATCACTGTCTTAAAGAGATACCTGCACTCCCGTGTTCACTGCAGCATTATTCACAATAGCCAAGACATGGAAACAACCTAAGTGTCCATAGATGGATATATGGATAAAGACGTGTGTGTGAGTGTGTATTAAAGATAAAGATGTATGTATTATATATAAATAATTCAGACATAAAAAAAAAGTGAAATTCTGCCTTTTGTGACAGCATGGATGGACCTTGAGGACATTACGCTAACTGAAATAAGTCAGGCAGAAAAAGGAAAATACTGTATTTACATATGGATCCTAAAATCATCAAACTGATATAAAAAGAGAGTAGAATGGTGGTTGCCAAAAGATGAGGGGTAGGAAAAGAAATGGGATATATTGGCCAAAGGGTACAAACTTTCAGTTATAAGATGAGTAAGTTCCAGGGACCCAAGGTACAGCATGGTGACTAGAGTTAACAATGCTGAATTGTTTACTTCAAAGTTGCTAGGAGAGTAGTTTTAATGTTCTCACCACAACAACAACAATAAAGCTAGGGAAAATAAAGTAATCTAAAATCACATGGCAAAGGCAGTTTGTAGGAGTCAGAACCATGCCCTAGGACTTGATAAAAGTCCTGGGGCTTCCATTTTTTTTTATTCCTTTCTGCTTTCCTGTGTAAACTAGACTTTCTTAGTGTCCTCCTCAGCAGAACACAGAGCGCATGGGCCTTTTTTGCCTTTCTCTGGCCTTGTGACAGGCCCCAGGCCCTTGGGGAACAAGTTATTTCCTACTATGGTGTAGCATAATTCCTTGCTACCCTTCTTCATGCTATTCTAAAGAATTCTTTAAAAAGAATAAAGTATTTGATTTAGGGTAGAAAGCTTGAATTCAAACCTGCACTCTACTTCTCACCTTGAACAAATTCCCTAACCTCCTAATTTCAGACTTCTCACCTCCTAGCTTCATATTTCCTAATGGAGAAACTTCCGGAAAAATAACACTTCAGGCCGTCCCACACCTGATTGCTGAATTTAGGAGAGAAAAATTAAACAAGCTTAGTACAGACATCTCTTTTTCAGATGTGCCCTCCTACTGAGTAGGGTGCATTATGGCTTGGTCTATACCATGTGATAATTTCACTAGGGCAGGTTCTGCTCATACAAGAGGAAAGTCTAAGTTTGGGAAGAAAGTTCAAATTAGAAACTCCGTTTGACCATACAGCCAAGCTAAGTTCTCCATTCCAGCATCAGTTTTCAGAAGCAAACAGATGAGACAAAGGGACTAGCTGGATCTATTTTTTCCCTACGTTAATGAATTAATTAATCAACATTCAGTGAGTAACTAGCATACAAAAGTTATTATGTTATAGATAGTAGAGATCCCAGGATAAATTAGACAGGTTCTCTTTTCTCATATAGTCACTCTTCCACGATGGAAGCTAGATTCAAGTACAGCTAACAAGCTAGAATTAGTAAAGTAAAATAATGTATTATTAGAGTTCTCATATCCTGTAATACATTATATAATTTAAGTCCACCTCACATATTCACATATACTATAGGTAAGAAACAAAACCATGAAACCTACTCAAGGCATCTGCCATAACATCATAAAGCTGTTTTGTCAACACTATTAGGATTTCATTATCAGGATAATATCATAGAAAAACTCCCTTGTATCTGAAACCAATATACTTATTAACCAGATTTTCCATGGGCACATTAGCAAATGTGACTGATTTGCTCTTAAGAGGAAGTCTCAAGTCATTCTTTCTGGATCATTACATAAATGGAGAAAACTAAACATATAATTTAAATTTTTTCCAAGGTTTAATACTCTGCCAAAAGTGTATAAATCTGGCCAATTCAGACTAAAGAAAAAGCCTAATCATTTGGTAATCAGCTTTGACCTCTACCCACAAAATCCACAATCTGTGTGAAAGAAATGACAACACAGTGAGTGAGAAGGTGGAATTTTTAATAGAATATTTTTGGGTGTGCTCTGCTTACCTCCCTGGTGATTTCTTATATGGTTTCAAGGCACAAAGGTGTGTAGAAGGTTTCAAATAAATTATGTATTTGGTATGCAATTTATTTGAAACCTTCCACTAACTCATTCCAGTGACTTTTTCCTCAAATAATTTCTCTCTTTGTTTTTTCTTTCTTTCTTTTTTTCTCCTGCTACCCTCTGTCAACTGCTAGATTAAAGTTAAAACAGAGGCAAGAAAGAGGGCTATCCTCTGTAGGTTCAGCATTCACAGGTTTCACTGAGGCCACACGAAGATCTCTATATATTTTCTACACAGGTAAGGCTACCCTGAAGAAAGCCCTTCCTAATTTTCTGTGACTTTTAGCTGTATACAGGTACATGAACTGCTAATGAGTGAAGAATGGGAAGAAGAGGGTTATAAAACAGAAGTTGAAGGAATTGATTGAAGGGCAACACTAAGATCCCAGATGTATGTGAAAAAAAACCAGAAATCTCATTTAACTAAAAGTACACAATGGGATTATTTGTGTCTGTTTCTTAACCACATACTCAATAGGTCTGCGATTGAAATGGGTACTCAGGATACATAGTCTGAGTTCTCAACTCATAAGGAAAAGTCAGGGACAAGCCAGTCCCCTTAGTAAACCATGTATCCAAAAGAACAATATGATGCATTATGGGGAACCTCAACAATCAGACACTTAGAATGGGACAAAAATTAACAAATCAATGAGCCAAAGAGTCCCATGATTGACCTCATGTCACCCAGGCATCAACCACTCTACTCTCAAACTTCTTGTAATTTCACACTGCTTGTCTGTTTCAGTTTTCTGTTGCTTCTGTAATAAACTACAGACTTCAGACTCAGCGACTTCAAACAACACAGGTTTATTATTTTATAGTTCTGGAGGTCAAAAGTCTCACTGGGCTAAAATCAAGGTATCAGAGGGAGGCTTAGGGGAGAATCTGTTTCCCTGCCTTTTCCAGCTTCTGAAAGCCACCCCCACTCCTTGGCTTGTGACTGCATTCCTCCACTTACAAACCATCAAGGTCAGGCTGAATGAACCCTTCCCATGCTATCAGCTCTCCTTCATTTATCAGGTCCCAGGTGATTACACTGGTCCCATGAGTATAATCAAGGATAACCTCAAGGACATCTAATATAGCAACCAATTCTCCCTTGCCATGTAACATAACATATTCATTGGGTGTGGGGATTAGAATGTAGGGAGCCCTATTCTTGCCTTCCACATGGACACACCAAGATTTGCTCTGAACTTGAGGTAGAAGACAAAATACAGCTATAAACTTGGTCTAGGAACTGTTCGTGACAAATAGGTAATACCATTTGGTAAATATATAACACTGCTCTTATAGTTAAAATACGTAACAACCCAAATGCAAAAAAAAGAAATTTGACCAATTAAATATAGTTTCTGAAAACAGCATGGTGATGGCAACATCTGATTTCAGATTCTCTCTCATACAAGTTATGCAGTCTTGAGCAAGATATTTACAGTGCTGAGCGCTAGTTTTCTCATCTGCACAGTGGGACTAAGGCCTGGCCTGCTTTACACCAGGATTGTACTGAGGATCAAATTACAGTAAATCATTAGTGCTGAGACTCTTTGAGTATTAAAGGCCTATACAGATAAAACATAAATATAAGAAATCCCAATATGATCATTTTTTTGTTAAACTATAGTCATTTCTTTAAAGGGCACCAAGGACAAAGGTAAATAACATAAGTAAATACCTATAGCCTCCGCATTTATTTTAAACCTAGCATTCATATTAGTAATAATAACATAATTTTTATTATTGAACTTTATCATTCATTACCTTTATAACATCTTTTTGATGAAAGACGTATATTTAGCTCTATTGTATATACAGAGAAACTGAAGCTTAATCTCTTGACCCAAATCACACAGAATATAGAGTCATAGAAGGGCTAATGGCTAAAATTGCCAACTTTAAAATCCATTCTGTTTTTGAAAACAATTTAAATATGAGCCAAGCCAAAATTTCCATTGATATTATGATCCACCAATTCCACAAACAGCACTGTACACCGCGGGTACTCACAAAGCAGCTCTGTTGGCCAGAGTCCTAAAGTCCTTTGATTTCCAAGATTCCCTTGTCTGGTTTCAGAGGAAAGCATCACATATTAAGACTGACTCCTAGAATAATTGGAGAATAGAGTAACCATCTAAATACTGAGGTGCAAGTTAAAAAAGAAAAGAAAAAGGTATCCAAATCCATCTCTGCAAGACTTAATAACTGTAGCTTTCTGTTTTACTGGCTGAAACTGCTGTTTGCCTTCAATAAATCTCCAAGGTTTTACTTATAGGCCCCCTTTAGATACGGACAGATTATTTAGTTCAATTACTTCACATTACCACTAGTCCTATATAATAACTATGGTGCCTGCCTTTACATTTCCTGCCCTAAGCCATATTTCCCAAAGTGCAGAGGATTTCCTGCAAAAAGATCAAAGAGATTCACTTCATTCCAACGTATTTGGGATTTCAAAACAATAACTTGTTTTTAACTTTTGGGAGACTTTTCCCTCTACTTTTGGTAGGTTAATGTATAAATGCATGCATATGTGTGTTTATAAAGCAGTAACTTGAAATTTTTACATAAATACATTAAAACTCTATTACATCAAAGTATTAATTAAAAAATTTGAAGCAGCATTTAAATAAGATTTCTAAGGTCTAATAAATAATAAATCAGAAACAAAAAGATCATCAAAGTTTGACTATCAATTCTTATATGTCCTTTGATTATACAAACCTTAAAATAAGTTTTCCACTTCTCTGTTTAATTCTCTTACCTGGGAAAAAAGAGAATATAGTAGTATTTAACTCAAAACTGTGAATATTAAGTTAAGTCAGTTAATATTTGTAAAATGCTAGCACCGTGTGTGGCAAAATAATAATAACAATAGGAAGAATTATTAATATTGACTACTTAAGAAAGAGAAAAAATATTAGTTTATATAAGCAAATACATATTAGATCTCTGCTCATTCCCAATTTGAAAAATATAAGACTTAACAATACAAGTCCTGGTATTTGTCTACGATTAAACCAATATAAGTAATCAGCTTTCAGATATGATTCAGAAAAAACATTGTGTTACACTTAGTGTAGTGCAAAGATTATTTAAATATATTTCACAGGAGCAAAGACTAAGAGGAGAAAACAGAGATAATACAATGCCATTTAAATGGCACTTGTAATGTTACCTGATTTGACCAGAGAATCTTAACATTATAGTCTAAAATGGAAGGAATTTGGACTGGCAGACAGTCAACCTGCTTATGTACACATAACTGTCTCAATTAGTAAATAGCACATGAAAACTTGTCAATTGACATGCCATAAACTTTCTTATAGTGATAATTAATTTGAATTTGGAATATTAAAATATATTTTACCAAATTATTGGGATTTATATAATATAGTTTTATATAATAAAGTTAACATGTTTAAGGATAAAACATCTTACTACAATTAATTTTCTTTCTTGTGTTAGTGACTACCACTGGAACATACCATTTTGAATTCATTTATTTACAGATATGATGCTATATCAGTATTATTTGCTACAATCCACTTTTGCCTGCATAATTACATTCCTTATGCCATGCCTAAAAAACATGCTTCATATTTTATCACATGGAAGATTAAATGTTACTAATATTTAAGAATGATGTGATAAAGTTTTTTCTTTTCTTTTTATCTCAATATAAAGTTATTTTAAAAATGTGAGTTTAGAAATTCCCTAATTTTACTCTAGAATATTAGAGTATAAGACTTAATGTTCATTTACAATAATTTGTTATGCAATTTTAATTTATAGTATATTGTTATGCAAAAATAGGGCAGCAAAAGTTTTCTCATTTGCTTTAATGTGCACCTTTTTTAAACAACAGCAACAACAAAAAAGACCTTAAGAAGTGTGTGTTTGTGGATTGATATGTAAAAAAATAGGGAATAATTTTACAGTTATATAATCATATCTACTAAAGAAAGATCTTTTAAATGAAAGGTAGTTTAAAAAAAATAAAATGTTTTTTACTTGTTTTGGCATGGCTTTTGAATTTCTGAGTAAACTTCCCCTTGTACAAAAGTTAGTATATATGACCTTTGGAATCATGCATGTCTAAACCATATATATGTTTTACAAAGACTTTTATTTATTGAAAAAATAACAACTTGCTTTACAATTCCCTTAATATAAACCCAATATTAAAAGCTTAGGTTGAACCTCTGGAAAAGTCCAAAAGCTAAGAGGAATTCCTTGATCCATTCTGCTGAAAATCAACACAAATAAGAACAGGAAACAAAAATACAGAAATCTCTCAGCCTGTAAGTTGATGTCCAACCTCTTATCCAATTATCAGGTAGAAAAAAATATGATATTTTTAATTCTGTAATTTGAGAAGACATTATTTAGGTGCTTTTTAGAAAGAACCAGCAGCTATTTCAATAGAGCTCTTTTAATACTCTGTGGTGTCATAAAACTCTATGTCTGGTATATAGTCATCACATAAGTGATTGACTTGGGAATTTGAGTGGCAGCTAAAATGCAATACCCAGGGTCCATGATCTTTTCTAACAAGAACAAATTTTAATTGAGACATAATTAAAACATATTTTTACAAAGGTGTTTATTAAAGGAGCTAAATATGTATGAAATAGAGGAGGGAAATATACAGGGGTGAGCAAAAGTAAGTTTACAGTTGTAACATTCTTTTGAGTTAATAAAACTATTGTAATAATCATAACTTGCATGTCTTTTTCCATATGAATAACTGTAAACCTACTTTTGCCCACCCTTGTATTACTCATGTTTACACATGGTTGGTTATTACCTACAGAGTAATAAAAATTAAAAAATTATATCAGTGAAAATATGTAATTTTATTGATATATTTGACAAACTAGACAAAAAATCCTCCCAAAATAAAGAACTGCTTTTAGAAACCAAAGTAAAGTTAAAAGGAATATTTAACACTAGGTAAATCCACACTCAAATTTTCTTTTTTTTTTAATCCTCACCTGAGGACATTTTTTATTTTCCATTGTTTTTCAGAGAGAGTGGAAGGGAGAGAGAGAGAAACATCGAAGTGAGAGAGGTACATCAATTGGTTGAGTCCTGCACGTGCCCCAATTGGGGCTGGGAATGGAGCCTGCAACCTAGGTACGTGCCCTTGACTGGAATCGAACTTGAGACCCTTTAGTCTACGGGTCCACACTGTAACCACTAAGCCAAACCCACCAGGGACACACTCAAATTTTCAGGAGAAACAGCAGATACTCTCACTCTCTTAGGAGAGAAATTTTTTCCCTTTAACTTAACAGCATCATCCAATCATATTTGTAAATATTCAGTGTTCATTGGAGCTTAAGAAAACATTCCTTGAATATTCATTAACACCTAATTCATAATTCCATACTTTATTATAATAATTAGTATTAGTAATAATTAGTAATAATTAGTAATAATTAGTATTAGTAATAAAGCCAAAATAACTGAGAACCCACCTAGTATTTTCTTATAAATCTTTGTCTTTCCTGTCCCCACAGACCCAGAAAACGTGTTTGTTTTGGAAACAAATGGCAAACACTACAAAGGACTCAAAGTGAGTGATAAATGATCAAGGAAAAATTGTGAAATCACATCAGCTGATCAGTGCCTGACTGACCCAAGGTCAGAGCCCGTGAGAACGTATGACAGGCTGAAGAATTTCTCCTGCTGTTAAATGTCAGGCATGAGTGCCACACCACCTCACACTGGAAGATATCCAGAAACAAATCCATTGTTTTAAGTTTACACAACCACCAAGGGTGATCTCTGAAAGTCACAGCAGACAGTCTCTCAAGTTAGTTACAGCTACTGTACATAGCCGTTTTCATGACCGACTTCAAGTTCTACCACACCCCTTAATAAGTCCTATAACCTAAAATTTCTAAACAAGTGCAATAAAATTACATGAGTGGAATCTAAGGAAATGACTTATACCATCTTAATAGTGAGAATAAAGTAAGAAAATGCTAAGACAAATCGTTTTGATTGCAGAACTTTAGCAAAAATATTGAATGCACTAATCTTACTCACATATCTTTGTTATGGAGATATAAATTGTCTGCCCTTCTATGGCGGGAGTCCAGGATGAGAGAAAATCAACTGGTATTGAAAACAAATATAATTTTTTTAGTACCACATTGAAAATTAACCATGAAGAAGGCCAAAGCCAAATCACACTTTGAAAGCCTATCGTGGTGAGCTTGTCTTGATGATGTGTCGCCATACTTAATCACAGCTCTATGTTGCTGGTGGGGGTGGCTGCGAGGGGGGCCACTATGGGAAAATGTGAAGTGAGCCAAAAGGCAGCAGCTTCTATTAGCTACCATCTCCCTTACAGCCAAATTGACATTTATCTTTTATTCTATGAAGCAAATTGTACACCAGAGCTTTTAACAATACTGTTTTTATATATAATTAGAGTGGCGAAATATGGTGTGGTGCTCTTAAGAATGTGCCTCAGAGATCTCTGACTAGAGGAAGTGTAGTTGACCAAGGGCCCAAGCTGCTGAGCTCTGAAACCCATTGTTGGATTTGCAGAGTCCACACTTCCCACCGGCTGCTCGCAGGCCACAACTAAACCAATGGGAACACTAAAACAGGTCATTCCTAAGATATGTGGAACTCCCCTGATGACTGATTTTGGCTGGGACTCTTGCATTGCCTTGCCTGGCATATGCTGGATATTCATCACTTATCTTTGGGAAAATAAACTATTGTTATTATTGAGTTGTCAAAGCCCCTGCAGGTTGTTGCATAAACATCAAAAATTGAACTCAGTGTAAAAGTTAGTTTTTAGATGATTTTCAGCTTCTTAATGTAGTCTCAGGCAGCTGAACTACAGCAAATGGGTTAGAAAACTGCAGCGAGATGGATTTTTGCTCCACAAATATATAACCCTCTGATAGATATCTAAAGCTTAAATAGGCTGCTCCAATCCCCTCAATTCCTCTTTGAGAATACTAACATCCCCATTTTACAGAACAAGAGACACATGGCTTGAAGAAACCAAGTTCTCAGGGTTGCAGAATTTTAAGGACAGGAAGCAATATTGCAACCTTGATTTTGCTCGCCCTTTCCACAGTGACCATGCAGTTAGAAGACGTCTCTTTCAGGAAAGAGCCCGAATGCAGGACCCAATGAGGAAGCTCCAGGAACGGTGATAAGAGGGAAGCCTCACAATGTCTCGAGTTGATAGATGATAATGAGTTTCAATTATGATGACAGATTTCTTGATTAAATTTTATCTTTCATATACATTTACGCTTAATGAAAAGTATTTCAACTGCTCCCTGACAGCTAAGAAATAGTCTTAAGCCTTTCAGATTTGCAGATAATTACAAAAATATCTCTAACTGTCAGGAAATTACCAGTTTTCCATCTGTTTGTGAAGACATTTTGAAAGGAGAGAGGGAGAAAAGAAGTCAAGTTTTCACACATATGTGTTGGCAAGAAAATCAAAATCAAATAAACAGAGATCACTGATTTTTCTGCCATTTTCACAAATTTCTTTTGTACCAGTTGCTGATAATATCATTATAATACAAACCTAAGGTAACTTCTGAAACTGGAATTTAAGACTTTATAAGCTTTGAACTATAATAAAGCCAGAGCCTAGATTGTAATTAACATCTGGTAAAAATTTTGCTTTGTTGTTTATTTTTACAGTTTTTGGGTGGTTTTATTTTGATCACCTAGTTTTACTAAATTCTAAATGACATAAATTCTCCTGTTTGACTG